CATATGTGGCATGCCGCATGGCAGGCAACGAGTCGCATTTCTTTTTGCTCTTCGCCTGAGTGTGCTTTGTGAACTTTTGTTGCTTTGATCGTTGACTACGCCGATGGCCCAGTTTGAATGTTGTGCCATCGAATGCACGCATACACATACACAGCTACATATGGGCACATATATTTATATACCTCATTGAGTGCTGTACGAGGTGTTAGTGAATCATCGGTGCGACACCGCCGACTGAGTGGGTGCTGCATGCCACAACTTTTAGCGCATTTGTTGTTGGGTTGGTTAGTTGGTCGCGCTTTTGAGTTTTCTTGGTTTTCGCTTTGTCGACGCTGCCGCACATCAGCACAGATTACTTTTCCTTTTGCCATTTGTATTTCGGTATGTATGTGTGTGTGTGGCCCGAATTTGGTGTGTACTTTTGCTCTTAACGGTCTTGGTTGCGGCTGTTGCACGGAGATTTTCGTCATGCTGATTTGATTAAGCGAACGTGGGGTTGTTGACGACTTGGACTTTTTGCACCGATTTTTTTCTAGGGAGGAAAAAGGAGAAAAGATGCCTTTTATGAGCTCAACAGGTGCCGGCGCCGCTTTTTGTGAGTCGTTACAGCAACAGTTGTTGGCTGGTGTTAGGTTAGTGTGTATTGGTGTGTCTCAAAGATTTTCTTTTTCTTATTTCATTCTGCTTCAGACAGCACGCAGGCAGCATGTTTTCGAATTGAGTGCCACTTAGCCAACGGACAGCACTTTTTGCTGCCTTGCTGCCGGCTGCCCGTTTAGGGATGGGGAGTAATTTCATTTGGTTGGCCAGTCGTTTAGCTTCATTTGATTAATTGGTGATGTTGATGTGCGCTTTTGATGTGGGAAGTTTAATTTGTTTATGTCAACAAGTCACTATATCCCTGCAAATTATGTGGAGAAATGATTTCCTTCCGCTAAGAAAAGAGGTGAGAGCTGATTTTTGGCTTGTTCTGGATGTAGTAGAAAACTGCTGACTGGTGAATTCATCGACCCTGACATTGAATATATATGTAAATATAGCAAGAAAAATAATAAAATATATCTAGAAGATTTTTCATTCTCCCGTCTGGAACCAATCAAAAGTGCTTGTCTACAGTATTAGAAGCGATGACATGTGGGCATATATTCCTCTATATTTTGTTCTATTCTTCTGTTCATTTCTGTCTCATTATTAATTTTCGCAACTTATGCTTGCTACTTAAATTTGTCTGAAATTCCACAACATTTAAATTTGACAGCTCGTTGCAATTAAGTATTTTGTTTGTGCGGCAGCTATATGCTACAGTGGTTCGATATCGGAAGAAATGAACGTGAGCAAAAATTCAAATCAATATCTGAAAAACACAGAGACGGGCACAACTTGTATATAGAAACAGATGGCTAAATCAATTTAGCTCGATACGCTGTTCATTTATATAATATATATGTACTTTATAGGATCTTCAACGTTTTCTTCTGGGTATTGCAAACTGTTCTGAGCATAATACACAAAAGATGCTGAATTTTTCATTTTAAGATTAGAATAGCACCGTTTTGATCTTTAGATATAAGTTTGGGTGAATCAGTGCTAACGTGTTGGAATTTACTCTGTGTTAAATTGTATTTTATATTAAAACATGAAAAATTGGCGCTTCAAACAATTGTACACAGAAAACAGAAAGAGAACTTGCGACGGCACTATCAGAACACTTGCTCTCCGAGTGTAGAGCGATAGCAAGAAGCAGCGGTAAATTCATCGGAACGAATTATCTGTAAAGTGAGAATATTGTCCCAATCGTCGCCAAGACACTCCTAAAGCAATACAATCTGACTAGACAGTGTTTTTACTATAATTTGCAGTAGGGTCGGCTGGGTCAGATATCACCAGAGTTTCGGAGTTTGCCCAAAAGGCAATATCATTGTTACAAATATTACCCAATTTTTATATATTTATGCACATAAGGGCATAAAGACGCAAATATATCCATATATGATTGAAATTAATAATTTATTTGATTCGACATACATTTATAGGCCCATCACTTTTTATTAGAGCACTAAAAGCGCACTTTTTCGTGAAATCGAATATGTATGTAGGTATTTGGCAAAACATGGAGTATTATTCCCTTATATTCCCCATGTGAAAGCGAGCGATAGTTTCCCCCGCAATTTGCATTCTCCTATTTAACTGTTCGCACTCAAGCTGCGCTAAATTTATTTTTTATTGTCTTATTGCAATAGAAGCATGTTGCGAAAAGTTGGGCATTTCCATTGAGCGACGTAAGCAAATCTCTAAGCGACCATGAATTATTTATGTCTGCCCGGCCGTGGCAAAGGAAAACGTGTACGCAGCGATTGCACGTCTTCTATGAAAATATACCAATACACCATTGGATTCGCATTTGCGATTTGTGGCATAAACTCGCGTGGCCGTGCAAGCGCGCTGGCAGCTAAAGTTCGCTGACGACAGCTCATATCACACAACACATAACCCAGATCTTGGCAAATCCTTTTTATGTGCGCATTATGTAGTTCGCATTCAACCAGTCGGCGATTACAGCATTCACTCACTCAGCAACTTGACTTCGTCTTCAGTTAGTCAGTCTGTCAGTCAGACACTACACTACACTACACCACAGCACACTCAATTTAGCCTGTTGGGCCATTAAGGTAATATCGCACCACATTTCGCGTATCCGCGCTGGCGTTCCGGGCGGCCCAGCAGCCGTTGTGTTGCTTGCAAAGCTGCGCCAGCAATTCCACGCACCATAAGCCCCTTCAATTACCTGCTATAACAGCCGTTAGATGTGTTGTTAGATGAATTTCTATGGCCGAAACATGTTCGTGAACCACATGCCGTAGGATTGATCTGGCCTGGCAGATATGCGCGAACTCAGAGGTCGCACTTGAGCAGACACCTAGTGGTAATGTGCGTGTGCGGATGAAAGTGTGCGCTTCAAATCATCATCTAAATATTTTAAAGGATATACGAGTGTACATCAAATGCCAACACTAGACTGTTGCCAGTTGACTGCCTTTGCCGGCACGACATGTGCGATACATTGGCACGCATTTGTTATAAACATAAATGAGCTTAGAAATGAACCCCGCAGGATAAAAGGCGCACACACTAGTTTATCTTCGCGCGCGGCACAGATGCGCAGAAACTTCCGAGCGCCCAGGCGTGTGTTAGCCCAGAAACTTTCAACGCACTTGCCACTTTTGGCACATTATCTAAGCATAGAGCTGTTGTTGGCCTGAATGTGTACATGAAAGTGTTGCGCTGGAAGTTGGCAACGGCAGGAAGGGCATATGAGGGCGCGCGCGCGGCGTCTAATGCACATGTATCGAGCACATTATACAAATGATATGACATCAGATAAGCGTAAGTGCAAATTGGCTTACAAACCGGGATTTGTATGCTCGTTTCTCGCATCCATTGTTATGGCCCTACATGGGCACTACTACACTAGCAAGCCTTGTTATTCAACTTTTACGCAATTCTGCTTGTTCGCAAAAGAGTAGTGCAGTTTTAGGCTCACGCTGTGTGTTTGGCTATACGCGTTCCTTAGTGCCATTTTGCGGCGACTACACGCTTTGTATTTTACTCGCACTTCGGCTTAGGCTCTTGGCTGCGGCATTCGGTTCGGTTCGTGTAAGCCTTAATCTAATATAAGCTTAAGTAAACAAATGTAAAACGAAGAAAAATGGCGAAATAGAGCCGCGAGGAGTGAGTGCGTGAGTACATTTATCCGCATAACTGCAAGCATATAAATATTGGTAGCTTTATATATGTATATGAGCCTGTGTGTTATTGTTCGTGCGCTTAAAGCCTGTTGAATATTCTATGAGTGCGCTTAGACATACTCTGTAAAATGAGTTGATTACGTATCCTGGCGGAGAGATAGCCAAGTTCCTGAAAATAACGACAATTGAATGTACAAATCCGTTAGAGTGTGGCAATGTACCTAACTTATCATTTCATCAAAACAAAGGCATACTTGCAATGGAATTCTTCCTTTTACACTCCATTTTCTGTTAACACATGCTAATTTGTTTCGCTGGAATCCCAAATCCTATTCCATCAATAAAAAGATCAGTAGCGGGAAGATAACTCTGCGTTTAGGTACATTACATTCTTTTTTAGCTTTAGTTGCTTTTCGGAGTGAGACTAGGCTTTATATTTTCGTTTCGTAACACTTTTTAACGGTCATACGGGGGTGGCAGCTCAGCATACAGACAAAAAATAAAATGCTTGGTAAATTATTTATGCCTACAAAGGTTATTTGGAAACAAGGAAAATATTGTCTCAGTATCTCTCACATATATTTCTCACCTGCTGTTAAGCTTTCAGTATATTTTCATTTAAATACTTTATTTAAGTCGACAATGTCAATAGAGGAATATTCTTCTCTATAGGGAGAAATGTATATTGACTTTTGAAAACCCGTTCTATATTCTAAACTATCCCACGTATATTTTATATAACACTAGCTGACCCGGCAAACGTTGCTATTTTTAAGAAATATTTTTAAAAATACTAACACAATTAGTGTGTGGGGGATGTACTTGTAAGTAGAATTGAAAGAGCAATGTAGAGTTGTAGACAATTAAAGCGTACTTTATTGAAGGTAATAAATTATTTTTTAAAAAAGTAACAAATATATGTTAAATAAAATTTACTGTTAGCTATCTAAACATCGAAAATAATATATTTCATATTTATAATTATAATAATATTATTAGTAGGGCAACTAAGACCAAACAAAGATTAATCTCTCAACGTAATGAAATGTACAATATTTTTGGTATGTCTGTCTTTAGGAAATGATTTTCCCGCGTGAGAACATGCCACATAAAGTTGTCCATTTAAGCCACAAAAAGACAACGCTTGGCCTTGTAACTTACTGATCGTCATTACGAATTCGAATCAAATAGGAAATTGAGAGATTAATGTCTTCATTAATTTTTTACATATTAATTTTGTGCCATTGTGATTGGTAAATTCGCAATGATGTTGCGTCACTGAGTGATATCGTTAGATCGTTGCAACTTGCACGATGTCGATACAATATATCATCAGTCATCGAATCTTTAGGATTATCACACAACATTTGTGCCCGGATCGGAAAACATGTTATCAGTAATAAATAGTAGACAAATTTGTATTCCTGTGCAATTTTATTCAGCTGTAGCAAGCATCTTCTAGCAATCCCAGTAAAAGACATGCATCTTTATATGTTGGATACTGTTCTCCATTTCTTTACGTATATCTTGATCTTGTGGATCTGTGGATGGAACGGAATAATATAAAAATTACGATTAAAAATCAGGGGTTGATCGTTTTTTTCAAAGCTGAATCATATAAAAATAAAAAAAAAATATGTTATCCAAAAAAAAATAATAATCTAAAGTTTTAAAAAATATATGTAGGCAGATTCTCAGACCTACCCGATAGGCTACCAATTTTCAGCAAAATCGGTACAGCCGTTTCGTATGAGTTTGGCAACAAACACCGCGACTGACCTAAGAATCGCTCGTTAAAAGTGATGACATTGTCCCAATGTTATACAATTTTCTCCTTCGGGGGATCAATTCTATCAAACGTCTTTTGTCATTCTCACATATAAAATTTCATAAGACTCTCAATTGCAGCTTCATACATTTTTGTTGGTTTCAGTAATTAAATTACCACAAAGAGGATTTTATTTCGGTAATCATAACATTTCGTTTTTTCGAAAGGTTCAAAAGTTTTGAAACAATCCATTTGAGTGACTGGTTCTTTAGTTAGAGCTTTTGTTCGGTTCGGTTTTGAAAAGTGGTTGCTTATTAAGAAAGTCCATAAGTAGAGGCGCTGTAAATATAAATAAGAGAAGAGAATTTAGAGATCTTTGTTGTAGAGATTTTTCAATCGTTGTTCTTTGAAATTCACATTACTTTCTGAACTCAATTACTTTTCTAAACTCAATGTTATTGCCTCATTGCTTAGGCGAATATAAAAGAGAAGCATCGTCTACGACACAATATTTTCTTAGTTCACTCTTAACCTGAACTTGATGGTTATTTATTTGAGCTCGAATATAGAAAAAAATGATGTGCTCTTCAAATATTATTGATTCACGAGCGAAATGAGCAATGCGTGAAATTAACATAAATAAGCATCGTAAGCTTTTGTACGTCCATATTGTCAATAAGGTTCCTTATGAATAAACAATTTTCGTTTTGGAACTTAATTTATACTCCATAAGATTTCTTTAAAAAAAAACTCTTTTTAATATATATCAAATATATCTTGCTTCCTTTCGTATCAATAAATACATATTAAATAGTATAAAATATCCGTCGGCTTAAGAGAATGGCTGTAAAGGCAGGCAGTAACGACATGATATTGCTTATTCGGCCGTTTGCTGTTTTGGATATTTACTTCAACTGTGATCCTAGATTAACTGCAGATTTATGTAGCAAAAAAAGTATTTAGTCCGATGGTGTTAACTGTGTGTCGGATTTTGAGTTTAGCTATGCGCCACCTGTACTGTTGCACACTAGTAGACGCGTCACGTGAAGTGTATCAAATGTGTGAAGAGACATTTTATCTTTATAACAAGTCTCAGTGTTCGAAGGTTTAAAGGATTTGTGGCACGTAATGCCAATACTTGTGGTAATGAATTTACAACTTGGGGTAAATGTGTTTTTAAAACTTTTGCGATATTTGCATTCTCATTTGGTTGCATTTTGCGCGAGCCATCGATGGCTGTACCTGCCGAAAAAATAAATTACACAGTTGGCGCAGCGGCGGCATTTCCAAGCTAACTAACGCATTTCGATATAAATTATAACTGACAGAAAAGTCAAATAACAAAAATCGTGCGGCGGGCGGAGAAGGAAGATGGAACGTGAAGCTTCTGAAAAAACTAGATAAGTGGCAAGTAAATGGGGTTGCATGTGTATGCTCCAGATTGGGGTACACAGTTACAGTTACGGAGACTGCGATAACATTCGGTGGCCATCCTTCTCTCGGCTGTTTACTGTTGCACAGACACTTCAACGCAACTGAAATGATTTTCGGCTGCCATTTGGTCGATAGCATTAAACCGTTTTAGATTCGTGTGGTAGCAAGCTCGTATCAGACGCCGCCACATAAAACGGTCACCTTTCACCGCAACGCATCGCTCAGCAGTGCTGTACATACGACGAACACACACATATACACATATATACATACTCAAATTTATATGGGTAAAAAAGGTGACAGTGGTAGGGGACCCAGAGTGGCATTTACACGCACCACTTGAATGCTGTTAATGCCGCATGCAACGCGTATGCACAATTGATGTAAGTGTGTATGTAGTCACCTGACAACAAAAAGAACAAGAGGATTTGCTGAATCCCCACTCGATAATAGCACAGGCCGCGCTTGTAAAATGAGTGGCAGCACACACCAAAAACAACACCAGTACAACACCAACAACACAAACAAGCAATAAAATGCAACAAAAGAAAGAAAACCCTACAGTCAAAACAAAATTTATTTGTATTCCTGTACTTGTTTGTAGCAAAAGTAAAACAAACTCGCCACATATACATGCCACACATGCATACAAACATTGACACGCATAAAAAACGGCGCAAAATTATACTGCAATTCCCCAAAATAAGCACGAAAAGTGTCTAAAAGCTCGGCTACAATAGCAAAATGCATCCACAACAGGCAGTGTTGTGACGGGGTTTCACTGATCTAGGATGAGGTCGCTATGTTGCCACAGTAGCGCAAGGCGGGGTACGAGCAGACACGAATAAATATTTTTATTTATTGAAATTTAGGCATAACTGCAATTTCGCTCTTCACATATATTCGTAGATATGTGTATTTGCTTCAAAGAGAGTGGATCCTGGTATTATTTGGCTCAACATTGATAGAAACATATCTTATTGCCGTTAGCTACTAATTATAATATATATTTCAAATATTATCCCCACCATTATTTAGATAATATATTTCATAAATTTCCTAGCTGGTACAAATTGGGGTGTTCAAATTCCAATTTACTGCCTCTGTTTACCTTGCAACAACTATAGCAAAAATCATACACTAACCATACACTGTAACGGTATTTGTCACAACAAATTTCGTCGGAAGAATGTTTTCACACCTACTTTCAATAGAACTTTGCACCTAGTACACTTTGATGCTAAATGCGTGAAATAGCCGGCAGACAATCGCCTATAAAATGTAAATGTAAAATGTATCTATGTATTCCACTCGCAGAAACTGAGCCATTTTTATGAAATTTTATACATAAGTATATTACAACCACAGGTTAAAATCAGGCCTCATTTTCATCTCATATATAGAGAACAGGTGAATTTCTACTCGCACGATTACCCCTTTCGTAAATAGTTTAATTACAATCTTGACCTTGTCAAAAATTGCCAATGAAATTTCATCTCGATTGTCAAATATACATATATACTCGTATTTGTAAACTGGATGCACAGGGTGTTTAGTATGTTTGATAAACTAAAAGCTCGTCGGTGTGAAATAAAGCTTTTGAATTGGCTTTTCGCTTTAGCTAAGATCGTGATCATGGAATTATAGATCATTGGCGTGCACCGTATTCATGTTCCGAACCATGTGAGTACACTGAACGAAAAGTTCAGAAAGGCAAAGAATGTAAAAAATATACTTTAGACTGTAACTACATCCCTTGCGTACGCATGCAATGCTTTTAGATGCGATATTGAACAATATGTTTACTCAACACACTTGCAAGACAACTTATTTATAGAATATTTCGAAAGTGAACTTAAACAATGTTTTCAAATAAAAAAAAGTAAACAAGAGCCAACTGTGTTAACAAGCTTTATCGTTAGAAAATAGAAAATATTCTACTTCCATGAATTTTGAAACTAAGTTTGAATTTCTGAACGGTAATAGTGTGAGTTTTTGTATGCCATAGAGCTTGTCTTCTATTTGCTAAAAAAACGACAGTTTTCATCTATATGAACATTTCAGCATACATACATACTCGTATGTAATTTTAAAGCTTTATGTTGTTGCACAGCGATTAATTAGCTTAAACTTATGAATAGACTCAATTTCCAATTCGTCGTGCTGCTGCGCTATCAGTAAACTCATGCACACACAGAGGCACACTACATACAAATGTATATGTGGACAAGTAAACTCAATGCAGTGTCAAATGGTAAAAATTTCCAACTCATTGCAATGCTAGCGCAAAGAAGAGAAAATGTCGGACGAAAGAGCTCGTCAGCTACGAAAAAGTAGAGAAAATTTGCGAACACGGCGAGAAAACTGCCTCTGCTTGGCTTTCTCACCCCTCTCCTACGCCCTGTCCTTGCAGAGTTGCACTCCTCGCCAAACACATTCGCACACATAACCACCCACACAAAAGAAAGCGCACAACTGAAGAGAAATAAAGAAATGAAAAGACGGTGCGGATTTTTTTCAGTTGGAAAAATAACCGAAAAGAAACGAGCGAGGAAAACTGGAAACGTCGAAAAAACGCACCGAAAGCATTGGTGGGGGGAGCTAAGCGTAAAGAAAGAGACGAATTGGAACATGTGTGTCTGTGGGGCAGTGGCCTTGCCTCTGTGGATGTTTACATGCGTGTCGCCCGCTCACCCATCCAACCAACCAGCCAACCAGCCCGTCTGGACAGGGTGGTGTGCGGGAAATTCCGTCACACGTCGGCACGTACAAGCGCCACTCACATATGCGCAAGTGTATGTATGTATGTAGCGAGCACCTTGTCGGGACTTTCGCTTTCACTGAAACGTCTTTTTCTGTCTATTTGTGGAAATGTTTGTTTTTCATTTTCTTCGACTGGCGTTTTCACAAAGAAGGACCAAAACGAAAGCTGCTCCATTTTTCGTCTTGCTGCAGTTGCCAGGCGGCGAAGCTTGAGCCGGCGACGCGTCAACGCCATCGTGGGCAGATTTACCAGCAAGCAATTGACTTCAGCAAAGGAAAAAAGTGGAGGAGCCACAGCAGAACAGCATGTGGAAACAAACAAAAACAACCAAAGAATACAAATAAAAGAGCTGGAAAATCAAAAAAAGAATTTTGTGCGAGAAAAAGCAGCGAAAACAGGAAAAAAAACAAAACTGAGACGAATGTGAGTTCAAATGGCGGAGAGAGGTGCAAATTTCCTTTGGCGACCTTGAGGCTTCAGTTATAAATTTATATAAAGCATAAAAATTATGTTAAAATGTGCGTAAGTAAAAGCCAAGGTAATGCTGAACGAACAATGAAAAGCGAATAATAAAGCAAAATGGAAGATGATGTGAAGAAAAGCAGGAAACTTCTGAAAGGTACCTGAGGATTCGCGAGACTATCTTAGCTGCTTTAATCTTGAGGAATATTTAAAGAAAATCAACTCGAACGTAAAGCCAACATTTCCCGACATACACTTACATAAGGACGAATATCTGTACATGTGTATGTACTGTTACTCGTAACGCAACAGGCTACTCGGACACAAATAATGCCGATCAGCTGTGCGCAGAGATGGGTGCAAAGCTTCAACCATGTGAGCGGCCACCCTCGTCTGCCCGATATTTCTTCTAGTCTACATACATTTGCGGCACAGACACATGTGTACGTGTCCACCACGAATACACATAAATATTGGGAAACCTGTTGACGAAGTGGCAAACGAAGGCGTAAAGCAAGAACTTTGGCACATTTTCTTGCAGCAGAATGGACAGCGCCGACCGACGAATGAAAAGCCGGTCAGAACTTAATGCTTGACGACTATAACGAAGACGGCAAAAGCAACTTGAGCAAAACGGGTGTGAAGGGTGCCGACCTCACAAGTACCATCCGAATACCCGGCATGCAAGCTGCCGATACGCTTTCCATCTTGAAGACAATGGAAATACTTACATATATACACGGGTACATATACACGACGTGGAGATTTGCCTTGAAGGATAACAAAAGGATTTTCATGTCTACAGCATTGTCTTTTTCGCTGTCACTTTCGCCATTAATGCCATTGTCGTTATCACCATGGCCGCGATGAGGTTAACTGTACATGGATGGAGGGCATCACTTTAAGAGACGACTATTGTATGACTTCAACAGGTTGTGCGGTTAATTTTGGGGCAATTGATTCTTAAATTTCCTTCGTGTGTTGTGGTACCGTTTTTGTGGTGAATACATATGCACCTACGTACGAGTTTTATTGTAAATGTGAGGTTAGTTTTTATCTGGGAACTCAAGTGGTATTCTATTGTGGTTATATTTTTTTGAATCTCCATACAACTCAACCTTTTTCATCAGCCTTGTCTAGAGTTATTACCTGGTCTCAGTTAAGCAAAATTACTCGACATTGTTTTTAGTATATTCTTCCATTAATTTAATCATCTGCGTCAGTACAAATTTTTATTTATTTTTTTGTCTTCCTAAGGCCTTCTACTTTTATAACCAGTATAATTAATAATCAAATTAATGAGAAAGAGTTATATACAACTAATGCCTGAAATTCATTAACAAACCGCAAGTATCCTTCAAGTGCTACATAACACATGTGCATTAATAGTTATATATATGTATGTTGAAATGGTTGGTATACGCTAGTCTGAAAGTCTCGGATTTCTAATTAGTTTCAAAGCAAATGCTTAACGTCTCGCATTACATAAAATTTAGGTTTCGTTTGAAGACTCTAACCTCTAACTAAAATCATAAGTATTCACCACTCCAAGAAATTGGAAATGTTCACTGTGAAGTAGACCTTAGCCTTCGAAGCTATTTTTGCAATTTGCTACTACAATTTTTATTATATAATATATTAACCAAAAGCTCCGTGCAAGATTATTTGCCAAACATGTGAGATGTATATGTGTACGAATAGCTGATGATCTCTAACTTATTTTCTGTGAACGGAGGTTAGTGAGAAAAAGGTGTCTCTTGCAAGAATCGCACGATGACTGTCATGGTAATTAAGCTTCTAAACGTCATACGCTCCACCGCCACGAGCGTCCTTATTCACTTCCTGACCTACCACCACTTGAATTACACTTGTCGCGTTCGTTCGATGGCCGGATGGTGAATCGATAGTTGGCGGGGTCGAGTTGACAACATGTCCAGTCTGTTGATTTCTCGGGTACGGTAGAGTCCTTGAGACTAGTACCGAAGGAGCATGAAGTGAGCTTTGGGTACGCATTTAGTTGCCTGTGTAGCTATTTTTCTTCGTGAATATTCTTGTATAATAAATTATGTACTAACACCACACAAACATCGACGTGGGTTGTATTTATTGTCCATTGGCAACGGTTGTGTATACTTGTACACTTGTGTAATGCTCATTTGGTGGAAAACTTTCTCCGCTTACTTTTTGTTGATTTTTCTTTCTTCTTTGTTTCACGCGAAAGAGAAGCTGTGTACCATTTTCATCGTCTAACCGGTCATGTGGGGCAGACTCAAATTTTGTTTCTTGCTTCTTAGTTTTGCACTAGGGTGGCTACATACATATGTGTTTCTCTGGTGTATTGATGTAATTGTAAATAAGTATTTTGTGTAATGGGCGTTTAACAGTTATCAAAATAAAATTATAGCAAAATGGTGATGTTTTAAAAGCTTTGACACGGTTGAAATCGATTAAGCTAAATTGTTCGCCAACGGATTGCACAACTTACTAAACAATCAAGAAGCGGCGAGCTTTCTTTCGTACTTTTCAGTTTAAGAGAGAGTGCCTTACGAGTATAATAGCGGTACTCTGAGCCTGCAATGTGTAGAGGCTCTAATTGTATTTAAGTGGTTATTAGTTTCCTTGGGGTAATGACATTATTATAAAAGTTCCAAGACCTTATTGCTGTTATAATTTTTACATATTACCTTGTAGATAAATTTGATGATTAAATTCAGTGGTAGATGCCAGAAAAAGTTCAAAATGCCATGATTCTTAAAGACAAATTGTGATTGTACTGCAGTGCGGCTTAGACTTGTTAGACAATGTTTAGACATATTTATTTACAAGGAGCTCAATCTTCAAGACGTCTGGTAGTTCGCTTTTATAACAGTTTTGGTCCAATCTGATTAAGAAAATCGACGGATTTTTACAAATTAGAAGGAAATAAAAAATAAATATTAAATTACGTGCTGTAATTCTCAATATGGGACCCTTTAACTTTATGAGTATCTTTTACCTTCAGATGCTCTCGAAGCCCAAATGCGGCATTATTTTTTCCACTTCGCCTCAAATATTGACGGCATGCATGAATCTGGTTTGCCCCGAAATGCATGCACACATGCAAGCATCTTTAATGCGACTTAGGCAACGAAATAAAATCATCATTAATTACGAAATACGAAAATAACAAAAACATAGGCGCTAAAGCGAACCGCAGATGAGCCAACAAACGAATGAACGGACGCACCGGCGTAAGTGGGTTCCTAAAACAATAAGAAAAATATTTATATAAACACACATATCTACTCACACATATATAGAAGAAAATAAACGAAAATACGTGAACAACTATGTTGAAATCGGAAACCGGTTATAGTACCAACTACCGATAAGGATTTGACGTTGCAACGAAGCCTCGTCGTCGAATGTTCAAAATTGCAATTTAAATGGCAAAGAAATAGAGAATGGATGAGAAGCGCCGTAACAAGGAAGGTCCGACGGCAGCTCTGCATTAACCGAAACCTCAGCTGCGGACGAACCAGACCAACTCGACTGCGTGCGGAATTCAAGCATTAACTTGCAACGACCTAGATATAATGCAGAATGCGACAACAAAAAGCAAACTGCAAAGGCTCTTCACCAAAGTGCATGAAACGAAGTGGAGTGGAACGCCGTTGCAACGACGGCGCCCATCAACAGCTCTAACTGAGCAGCGCAATTCAAATCCTTTTACGCTGTTTTTGCTGATGATTTATATTTTTTGCATTTCTATAGAAACTTTAGACTTTGGCAAATTCGCTTCGTTGCAAGCAGGCCGATTGCAACCTATGTTGCGCATGCTCAAACACATCAACTCACTACTATCCATAGTGTTGGTGTTGTTGGAATGCACCAAGCGCAGCTGAATTGCCAAAAAACCCAAAATCCAAAGAAAGCTAAGGCTGCAAAGCATCGATGGGGCCCACCAACAAATGCCTTCTTTTGTTGTAGTTGTACGTATGTGCATCGCATGTTGTTGCTTCTGGCATAATAATGGTGGCACTGCCTCCAACATCAGATATCTTGTTTTTCTCGCAAGCCAATCGTGACTTTGACAGCGCAAATATGTAGTTGCAATGCTGCAACAAAAAGCCACGGAAGAAATACAACAACTGCAACAGCGGTTGCTCAGCCACAAAGTTAAGCTAATGCAATGGCATACGACAACGACAACGAAATAAAAGCCAGCTCAGCGCAAGAAGGCGAACAATTATTTGGGATCTCCGAAAATTCACCAAGACGCTGAGTGCCAAGCGGCAACAACAACAGCAACAGCATAATGCATGCACCAAGGGGCCGGCAGTGGATGATTGTTGTTTATAGCAGACTAATGAAACTCGTTTGCAAAACAGCGACTGCAACACAAATGCACAGAAACAACAGCAACAATTGCAACAATAACTGTAATAGCAGCTTTCGTGACTTTTCTATGCCATGTGATATTGTTCAAGACGGTTATTTATATGGCTGCGGCTCCTTTGGAAAACATTCTGAATACTTTTTATAGAGTTGTTGTTGTTTTTCACTTTTGAATTTGAAATAGCGTGAACCGGTTTGCGATATATTCGCGAGTGTGTACTATTTTGAAAATTCTTTGCCACTAGATCTGAAAAATATGAGGGATGCACTAAATGGGCTTGCATTGTCTCTGAGAAGAGCTTTCATCCACCAACAAAACAGAACACAAGTCTAAATTGCCGCTTTATATTAACCTAATTATTTTGGGTTTTAGCGATTAAATTTGCACGAAGACGCTTTTGAAGTAACGTAATTTGAATTATTTACTTTTTGAGAGCTGCCATTGCCATTAACTTGAGGTTTATATGCTTTTAAATGCACTTAAGCCTCGCTCATTGAGCGAAGACGCTTGCCGCTCAAGGTGAACTGGCTGCAACGGCGTGAAAACACCTACATTAATGAGCTTACGAATGCATGCTATATCAAAGTATATACATATATAAATATAGGTATATATGCAATGTGAATGTGCAGCCGACGTTCCATTGCGTAATCCCCTTCAACTCAAATGCATTCAAGATGCGAAGATTACGAAGAAGAAGTGAAAAACACACAAAATGCCAATAAAGCAAATGTGTTAATTTTATTCCTCAATAATCACCGATCCGCTGACATTCATGCGCACATATGGGCATTTGCCGCAATCCACCTCCTATTTTCATAATAACTATCCTACAACTTAACTGTAAACCTGAAATTGGCATTAAATGCATGTAAATCCCCGCTGCCAGCGGCTTTGTTCTCGCTGCTCAGCGCTCATAAATTCTTGCAAGTCACTTGACCCGAAAATAGTTAACCCCGACAACAAAGGGTGCCAAGTTCAAAATACTTACACACATGAGCACACGCACATGCACACTCACGCACACACACCTATTGGCACGCACAATTGCTCTTTAAATGCCTCATAATACCCCCACCCCGGTAATTGGGTAATTTTCAGCCGGAAAACGAACAAACAAGCAACTGGCGACGGTGAAAGTTGCCGCCATAAATTCTCACCCGAATTCATCATAAAATCACTTAAAATAATACCCTATCCCACATAAGTAATTGCATGTCAAAACTTTCGACGTCCAACCTTTGACCTTTTAAGCTGTTAAGTGAGCGTCGGCAAGCGAAAAGTGCGCACATATGGGTTAAACTGTTGCCTGTCAACACCTCGACCCTGCCGGTTCGATTATGAACACATTACGTATGTGTGTTTGTGTGCGTGTGCTCTATACCCGTTTGGGGCAGCAGGCGACATCGGGCGTGTTTAGGGGTGGTACATGCTAATTTGTTGGCCACAAGTTTTGCGCTGACGCATATACACATCCATACTCGTATATGTAAATAGTTAAGCAGTTGTTGACATAGCCCATGTAGTACCATAGTTCGCCATAGACCGCCTGAATTGGCATTTAAACTCTTCCGGTTCGTAACACCAAACCGGACACCTCATAAAAACACGCCTTATACGAGGATACCGGATGCAGACAACTTAGCGGCACGACAAGACCTTATGTCCCAGCATGTCGATGTACATGTGTGTGTATATTAATGAGTGAGAATTTCTTGTCCTTGCAGGGCCACCAGGCCGAAGTCGACCCAAGAATCGTTCTCAGTAAGCAAGTCGCCTTATTTTTGGTGCGAAGTCATAAAATATTGCTTACATGAACCTGTATGTATGTATGTAAGAGCCTGCAGCTTGAATTGCGACCGTCTGCTAACGAGACTAGTTCCTAACTCTTCACTTTGAGACTCAAGTAGTACAGAAATGTGGTAGTTGCTGGTCACCTACGTATGTGGAATTGCCATGGCGTCTTAAATAGACATTCTAAATTATTATTCCCTACGCTTTGTCTCCATCACTGACCGATTGTATTATAGTTTAGCAAATCTTAATTTGCTAAAATATCACGAATTTTTAAGGGGTACATCTTCTCGTCGCTGGGTAACGAATCTATGCCGGCACACAGAAAGATATATGTATATATGTATGTACAGCAAAGCACATACACTTAGAACGGGACATGTGGAACGTGTTAAGTTAATTTTAGGGTTGATTTCCTTCACTTTCTTTGCTTTTATGATTCTTCGCCACATGCACACACTCACAGCAACAGTCGGCCAATTTGTGTGGCACACATTCGCCTGTGTATGTGCACCTGCTAATTAATTTACTTTTAATACCTGCCAGAACTTCCAAATATTCTGGGTACCCGTTGTAGTCGTTGGTAAACGCTTGAAGCTGCTGCGGGCCCCCGTACAGCTGCTCTGCGCTAAGCGTTAAAATGCCTCGAAAGCGCTTAAAAGCACATCTGGGTGCGCTTATGAGCGCACTGAAGTGAATGAAAGCCCAAAATTCCATAGTTCACTGCGTCAACTGTGCGGGGCTCTCGTTGTGCTCACAAGTCACGCTCGCGATATACGCTACTCGTCGGGCATAACGCTCATCTAGTTGAGTCAGTTCGCCAGTATGCATGGGTAGAAAAAGGTAGCAGCAACAACAATAAAAGTCTGCGGACTTGCCACTTAATACCTTTCTGAACGCCACCTTCAAACCTTAGAACATTTGAGGGTGTGTGTGTGTGTTTTGACGTGCACAAAATCAGACATTTCGGAGAGGAATTTAATAAATTCATAAAGCGTCCTAATTACTTCTTGTTATATGAGGCATTGTTTGATCGGAAAGTACCTGGTAGCTTTAAGCTTTGGTAATTTGTGGTTCCTCTACCGCCCTGACTAAAAGTGGCATTTCTTCTCGTGACCATTGGCTACACGTCGCCGCTGGGGCCTTGTGCTAGAGAGTTCACAGAAGCCACCGTAGAAAACCAAAAACACTTCACACTTCTGGCATGTTTGCGGTCACATAGCTACTAAAGTTAGAAAACTACAACAACTAAAAAGCATGCAGACATATGTACATACGGTGATTGTGTGAATTTTATCTAGTTAGCAAGCATGCCCTCACACATGCCCCTAGTAGACCTTTTTCTTTCGGGAGTGATATATATATATATATGTACGTACATGGTGTTATTGTTCTCCACGATTATATTTTGTTTTCATTCTTTGAGGCTAGTGTCTGTCTACATTCTCAGCCACCCCACTCTCTAAATATTCGCCCGCTACAGTCTTCTTCATTAGAAAATCAGCTCTATACATATGTACAACTTGTATATTTCCATATGCGTATGTATATATGGGTCATTTTGTGTACTCGTATATGTGTATATGTGTGCACTTTGAGAATGTCGTTACATGTTTTCTTCGTGTTTCACATGGTAAGCACTTAACAGGCCTTGCGGCCGGCCGGGAGGGTGGTTCAGGAAAGTTCTTGACCGGCCCTTTTATTGTTTTTAATGCTGATATAAGGAATTTCCGTTATGTTTATGGAGCAATTGAATGGGCTAGTAAAATGGTTAGTAAACACGTTAAGTGTTACATATTTCTGATGGTACTTCGCACTTACAATAGGGTTCCAGCAGAGTGAGAGAGTAGATGCGCTAGCTGAACGAGTACTTGGGAGAAGTTGGTTGAGCAAGATTTTTTATGTGAGACTTGTCTTGAGTATTGTCATCACTTTAGTCTTGAACCTAACCACTTTCTTATTCAAAATCCTTCAATTTAAAAAAATTTCAACAACTGCTTGCAAATCAAATTGTTACAAAATTTTGATACAGTTATATTATTCATGAATAAGGATTAAAATCCATGGCTA